CCCAGAATCCAAAGAAGATGAGGACAAATGGCCAAGCCTAGGAAAAGGTAGGAGTTGAGGCATTTCAAAGACTTAGTAGAATGAACTTATGTGGCGTCTCTTTAGAGTGCTGTCATGACCATGTCCCTCCAGCAGTTTCTGGTGTGGGTCCCTTAGGTTAAAATTCGGAGTGAGAGAGAAAGAGATGAAAGCCATTGTACACACTGTTTCCACCACCTTCACTACCCTTCTGACTTACTTCCCAGTCTAAATCCAACCCATTTTTCAAGGTCCAGCACAAACATTGCTTTATCTATCACAGCTCTTCTTGATCCCCAGCTGGACATAATCTGTGTGTGTGTGTGTGTCTGTGTGTGTGTGTGTGTGTGTGTCAATTGTGTATGTCTCTGTCTTAAAGCCCTTATAACCCTTAACAAATTTTACTTTTCTTTCCTTTTTAAAAAATATATTGGGGTGACACTGGTTAACAGAAATTAATACAAGTTCAGACACACAATTCCACAACACATCATCTGTACCCTGTATTGTGTGTTCACCACCCCAAGTCAAGTCTTCTTCCATCCCCATTTATCCCCCGCCATACCCTCTTCCACTTCCCTGGGCAATCACCACACTGTTGTCCTTATCTGTGGGTTCTTTCTTTTTTTTCTTTTTTGATCTATCCCTTCACCCCTCTGCCTTCCCCAACACATTCTACTTTCTACAGTAGAATCCCACAGCCCATATATGGAAGGACCAGTACTTGGTCAGTTAAATTCAAAGGTAGGGTATCATAAAATGATATTAATATGCATTTCTACTGCCTTAAACACTGTATCTTAAAACTTACAAATATTGTAAATGTACATTTAGTTACCAGAATTCTTTTAGGTCATTGCTTTTAGTATAGGAGTCTGATTAAGCATCTGCTTTCTCTTTCTTGTGAAGATTAAACCCACAATTTAGTTATATTTTCAATTCTGGTTTCTTTAAAATGGAGCAAGAACTTTGGCACTCTGAAACAATATGAATTCAAAATCCTTCTTTGATGTTTGTCTGCTAGTCTTCTGTTGTCTCTGCATAATTTAACATACAAGCACTACATAATTTGACAAGTTTTTTAACAATTTACCAAAACATTAAATCTAGCTTTCATAGAAGCATTTCCCTCCCCAATACTCATAAGTAATAGGATTGTGTAGTCTATAATCAAATTGTATAATTACTATCAGAGTAAAACCTAGCATAAACAAGGTTCTAGCATAGTTGAAGCAGAAGTGTGTGCATGAATACTGGAAATTTTAACCTATTAGCCACTACTGTGTAGTAAGCTGTGGGCACCTGTTATATTTTAAAAAGGGGAGTTGAGAGTCTTGGTAATTTGGAGGTGTGTTAAGTGGTCTAGCAGAAGTGCTTTTGGTGTATCAGAATGGTTTGTATGCCTATCTGATCACCCTGTTAGACCAGCAGACCTCAATGTATTGATCTGAAAACTGCTGGGTACAGAAGTCTCTGGAACTTTTTCAAGGGATCTGTAAAATCAGAACTATTTTCATGATAACACCAAGACTTTTTGCCTTTTTCACTCTGATTTTCTAAATGTTTCTCAGTTTTAGTGTCTAATATAGTAAATATTGATAGATAAAACCCACATAAATAAAAGCTCTTTGGTGACCCTCAGTACTTTTTAAGAATATATGCTTGTTAGTAATTGGCTGTACTGGATTCTGACTTCTTGAGGGCAGCAGCCATGTTTCATTTATCTTTCATATTTCTGATGTGTTTTTGCATTATCTTCTGCATAAAGGTCACTCAGTAAATATCTGATACATGTATGAGCCAAAAAAAAATTATTTCAAGTATTTATGGTTTCTCAAAATGGGCCAACAAAGTAGTCTCAAGTAAGGGTTCTTGTATTAATGAATATAATCAATAATTAACGGTGGTGTACAAGTATTTTAAATAATAAAATGTAATATTTAGTACCTTCCCCCTAAAATCTTAAACAATGTCTTGAGGAAGAAGAGGCATGGTTTAATGGGAAGAATATGAAAACATGTTCCTGTGAAGCTTTAAAAGGTGTGTGAAGACTTTAAATCTTGCTTAGTGAACTGTAGCATAAATAAATTGGCTTTTTAAAATTTATTTAAGAGAAGGGAGAAGAAGGACAAGTGAACAGAGATGTGACATTAAGAGCAGTCAGTTGGTGGGAAGACTTTTTCTTTCACTTGAGAAGCATTTAAACACTATTTTAGGTTTAAAAAGCTATTCTTAGGTTTGAAAATAGGAAATGATGGTCAGAAAACTATCATCTGGAAAGTGAATTTTATTGCTTTGTGTGAGTAACCATGATTGAAGAAAAATGATGAGAGCAGTCGTCATGTTGAAATGGGCCAGGGGCTTTGGACTCATCCATTCAGGTGTTATATGGAGAATGTTGACAGCAGAAACCATTAATTGAAAGTTAAATTAGCCTGTTCACATGGAGTAGATACTACTAAATAAGTGAGGAACACTCACAGGTGCTATTAAAAGGTACCTCTTTTACTATTCAACATTAGTAAACACATGGATCTATTGTATAAGTTAAATTTTTTCAGGGACAGTGTTTTAGTGGTATTTTGTTTTTTAAAAAGGATTAGTATATATTTTAATAGTGAATTTTTCTCATGGATTAATGATACTTTATACAGTACATTGAAATTTCTCCAAATCTTGCTAGTAAGACAGTTTTCTTAATAGAACTTTTAACTTCAGTGAGAAGCAAACTTGAATATAAGATTTGTTTTTGTTTTAAGAAAACTCTAATTCTAATTTTTATCTTATTCAATTCATTAAGAGAAGAAATTATTTTTAGATGTTTAAATTTAATATAAAATAATTAGGGGCTTATTATTTTCTTCCTGGCATGTTTTGGTATAAGGTAGGCATGCTTCTCCTTATTACTCTTGCTATCATCTGACAGTTCTTGAGAGTTGTTGTATATGTTGCCCAGATGGATCCTTGAACCATTGAATTACATAGTGTGTTCATATTTACTAGTCAGGAGCTACAATAGTGAGTCCCCTAGATTGTGAAGACAAAATTAAGAAAGCTTGCGCTATGAAAGATTTTCTAGTATAAATCATGAGGTGTTGTTCTATGTGTACTCTACAATTCAGTCAGCTTATCTCTTTCCTCCAGTAAACTGCATGCTTCTTGAAAGACAGAACTGTATCTTAATCATCTTTGATTCCACAATGCTTAGATGGTGCCCTTGATATAGTAGGCATTTAGTTAATGTTGAAAGAATGCATGAAGTCATTTGCCCTAGGGAGATGAAACAAATGTATTGCTGATGAGCCAAAGGAATTCCTGACTCTCTTTTCAAAACCTGGGTGAATTCTTACAGAAATATGACTGAGCCATAGCTATTTCTAACTGTAGTCATCCATTTCCAGACTGTAATAAAGCTTCCAGGACTTGTTGTCTATTCTTTCACCAGATTGGGGAAATTATCTTTCACTATTTTTTCAAATAAGTTTTCAATTTCTTCTCCTTTTGGCACCCCTATGATTTGGACGTTGGCACGTTTAAAGCTGTTTCAGAGGTTCTTGAGCCTGAGCCTCTCTTTATTTTTTTGAATTCTTGTTTCTTCATTGTGTTCCAATTGAATGTTTATTTCTTCCTTTTGTTCTATATCGCTGATTTGTGTCCCGGTTTTCTTCCCTTCACTGTTGTTTCCCTGTATATTTTGCTTTATTTCACTGTGCATAGCCTTCACTTCTTTTATTTTGCAGCCATACTCAGCATTTCTGTGAGCATCCTGATTACCAATGTTTTCAATTGTGCATCTGATAGGTTAGCTATCTCCTCATTATTAGTTGTTTTTCTGGAGTTTTGTTCTGTTCTTTCACATGGGCCATATTTCTTTGTCTCGGTGCACCTGTCTGGATGAATGTTTCTTGTCTAACTCCTTGGTTGTCAGACTTCCATACAGCTCGATTTTCCGGCAGCTCTGGTTGTTTTTTGTTTTTTAACTTGGTCATTCCCTTCTTTTGGTTGTGCGAGGAGGTGAAGCATGTCTACCTGTGCCTCTATCTTGGCTGGAACTCTGAAAATTATTTCTAATGGTAGGGAAAATTGTCCTTCTTTTTGGACAGTTATTCATAGCAGTTAAAGCTGTAGTTTGGACATACCCAAATTAATAATTCTGTTGGAAAGAGAAGTCAGAGCAACTGGCAAGCAGAACTGGTCACAGAGTAACCTAGACAATGGTCCTGCCCAGTTTCACAATATTTTCTAGGCTTGCTGTTCTAGTTACAGTGTGTTCTAGAATTTTATTTACAGATATATGTATGTATACTCATGCATGTATATATATTCAATATTTTTCCATTTAATTTTGTGCCATTTTAAGCCAACCTCTTTAGAAAGAGCTAAGTGTATAAAAACTATTATTAGCAAGGGGCTGCAGCAGCCCAGTAAACAAACCAGACAGGAGCCCAGTTTTTTTGCTGGCCAAGAATAAGGTTTTCTTTTACTCTGACTAATAATTCTAGTCTAAACTTAGAAATAGTTCTTTTGAAAAAATAAAATAACATAGAAACAGACTCATAGATACAGAGAACAGACTGACGGTTGACAGAGGGAAAGGGGATCAGGGGATTGGGTGAAAAATGTGAAGGGAGTAAGAAATATAAGTTGGCCTTAGTCACAGAGATGTAAATTACAGCATAGGGAGTATAGTCAATAATATCAACGTATATATGGGGCCAGTTGGGTATTTGAACTATCAAGGGGACCAGTACATGATTGTGTAACCCCTGTTCTGTACATCTGAAACTAATACAGAATAATATTGAATGTAAACTATAATTGAGAAAAACATACTATATATGTTCCTTTTTCCCCTTGATTTTTATTGTTAATTAAATTTTATTGTGATTATTATTACTGTGGTTAATGTGTTAGCATACAATCTTGAAAATGATAAATGTTAACTCTGAATACATTTGTGAATTCTTTTCTTTCCATTCAAGATAAGCTTTCATTGGAAGGAATAGTGGTACAAAGAGCAGAATGCCGACCAGCTGCAAGTGAAAACTACATGAGGTTAAAAAGGTTGGTGATTTTTAACTTTAAAATAATACCTGATGTTTCCTTTTGGGGATTGACATATATATGTTAGACTGCCTGTTGACTGCAACTGTGGTTATTGTTGGAAGTGTTTGCTTCAAAGGCTGTTGAGTCTTAAAACCAAGTAAGAATGAACTTCCAGTTGTAAAACATTTAAATAAGTCATAGGGATGTAATGTGTAGCAGGTTGACTGCAGTTATAATAATACTCTATTGTATACTTGAAAGTTGCTGATAGAGTAGATCTTAAAAATTCTCCTCATAAGAAAACAATTGTTTGTAACTATGTATGGTGACTAATTTAATTACACTTACTGTGGTGAACATTTTGCAGTATATATGATTATCAAATAAATCATGTCGTACACCTAAAAATATAATGTGATATGTTAGTTATACTTCAATTTTTAAAAAGCCCAAGTAAGAGTTTCTTTGGCAAGGGACCTTTTAGAACCTGGGCTGTTCATTAGGGGTTTTTTAGGCTACTGTGTTAATATAACCTGGAATCAAACATTTTAAACTTCTTTTTCTAGTTGTCCTAATAAATCCTTGATTTTTATTTTAAGTTCTCACTCGAGGATATATTATTTGATTTTAGAGAGAAAAAGGAAAACATCAATCAGTTGCCTCCTGTGCTCACCCTGACCAGGAATGGAACCCATGGTGTATGGGATGATGCTCTAACCAACTGAGCCACCTAGCCAGGGCATCCTTATAAACCTTGATTCTTTAAAGATATGTAATAATAATAACTTTGTATTATTTTATTTTCAAAGGTTATAATCTTCCCATAATGAATGTCTAAAATGCTATACTGTATAAAGCAAATATCTTACTAGAATGTTATCCTTTTCTCTTGATTTGCAGGAAATTTTTTTGTAAACATAATACTTTGTTTGAGATTTTGCTTCAGGGTCCACCCTTTCCCACTTTTGTACAAGGCTAATGTTTTGTAATTAATATTTAACAATGATGATTGCAGTCTTGACTGGTGTGGCTCAATGGATTGAGTGCCGGCCTGTGAACTAGAAGGTCGCCAGTTTGACTCCCAGTGGGGATTGCGGGCCAAGTCCTCAGTAGGGGGCAGCTGATCGATGTACATCTCACATATCAGTGTTTCTCTCCCTCTCTTTCTTCCTTCCCCTCTCTCTAAAAATAAATAAATAAAAATCTTTTTTTTTAAAGATGATTGCAAATTCATGATACTCTAAATTTTATGACTTTCAAAGAGTCAAGCAATTTTTAAACCCTAAATAAATGTATTATAGTTTATATTGACTATATTTCAACCCCATGTAGTTCAGAATTATAAATTTGTTTGTTTCAGCACTTACTAGGTGAAACAAAACAAAAATATCTGACCTCCTGGAGCTTATATTTGATCAGATTTTAGCTACACACAACTGGTAGTTGAGGGCACCTGTTCCAACATTTGTGGCAGCCTCTCTGGATTCCAGTGTTTTCACTTGTAAAAGAGGCTGGTTGAGCTGGATCTTCTTTAAACTGCACATCATCTTTTTAATTTTTCTCCTTTTCTCAATTAGATTAGAGTTTATCTCTTGGGAATGAAACAAAGAGACTGATTTTCTTGTCCAGTAATTCCACTCATTTAAATACCTCCCTAGGGCAAGTAAAAGTATGACAATTAAAATGAAAAAAAATTTATAATAGAAAATAACTTTGGGACTTAGGCAAATTTTTCTCTTTGTGTTTATCCTGTGGAGTTTATTATGTTATACAAGTCTTTTTGAAGATTTGTCTTCAAATAACTACTGAAATTGGAAAATGCAAAATCTCGTTACTGAACTGCTTGCCAAGACTTTTTCCTCTGGTCTTAATTTTCTTGAAAGGTTTCTAAAGATTTCTGATGATGAGCCGGAATGTCACCGTGCTTATGAAATGGCTGCCTTTTTTCTTATCAAAAAAGAAATTAAAATTGTTTAGCCTTTAGAGTATGCTAAAAGACCAGCCATTATATATTTAAGTTATTTAAGTGACTTATAGAAACAGGGCGATTCAGAAGATAGTAATCATCTGAGTTTCGTAAAATAGATGATAACCATCCAAGTTTCATGAAACAGATGACAACTAACATAAATCTTGAAGACTGAGAGTTTTCAACCAAGTGAAAAAAAGGAGTAAGAGCACTCTAGTTAAACAAAGAAACATGCAGGCACAAAGACTTGGGGGGAACACATTAGAAACTTGTGTATGGTTCTGCAAGCCTGGAATACAGTATTTGTTTAAGGCAGAACAGAAGCTCCAGCTCATATCTTTTCTTTGAACTGCAAACTTAAATACCCAAAAGCTTGGTTCATTTCAAAAACTGGACTCCTAGTCCTTCCCCCAAAACCTGCTCCACCAGCTTTCTCACTGAGTTAATGCCATATCTGTCCTCCATTTTGTCAGTCCAAACCTTGAGTACATTTTTGATTCCTTTCTTACATCCCATATCCTATGTATCAGAAAAATCTGCTAAACTGTACCTTTAAAATATCACACATCTACAGTCTTACCATGTCTCATCACCCACATGATGTCATTATTTCTCACCTGGATCACTGCAATAGCCTCCTAATAATACAGGTCCTGCTTCCACCCTTGCTGTACTATATGTAGTCTGTTGTCAGTGCAGTAGCCAGAGCAGTTTCTTTAAAAATCTGTCAGATCATGCCATTTCTCTGCTCTTTGGTTCTTTGCGAACCAAATGCTGTTGGTTCGATTCCCAGTCAGGGCTTGTGCCTGGGATGCAGACCAGGTCGTTAGTGCAGGGTGTGCGAGAGTCAGCCACGCACTGATGTTTCGCTCTTTCTCTTTTCTCTTTCCTTCCCCTCTCTCTAAAAATAAATAAAATCTTTTTTTAAAAAATGATAAAATAATTGATCTTTCCTTTTTAAAAAAATCAAAATCAAATTACTTAAATTGCAAGTAGAGTACCAGTGGGCAAATTCTTCCTCCAGATAGTTAATTAAGTCTTTGAACCTGAAGATACACACTCACACGCAAGATTATCTTTAAAAAAAAATCGATTTACTGACAATAGAGTGACGGGGACGGGGGTGGGGGATAGAAATGTAGCATGCCTTAACTGGCGTGACTCAGCTAGTTGCATAGCTGAAGGTCGCTGGTTGCATTCCTGGTCAGGGCACATGCCTGGGTTGCAGGTTTTGTTCCCTAGTCAGGGAGCATATGAAAGGCAACTGATCAATGTCTTTCTTTCACACTGATAGTTCTCTTTCTCCCTCCCATCCCCTCTCTCTAAAAATAAATAAATAAAATCTTAAGGAAGAAAGATACTAATGAATGAACATGGTGGCAGATTTCCAGATGTACGTGACATCAAATATAAGTTTTGAGAACAGAATTGGTGGTTCAGTGTGTGAGATATCCTATACCTAGATATTTCACACATATGCTCAGTTTTTCAGGGACCTCCTCCTGACTGCCTACACCTAATGACATTCAAATTTTTTTATAATCTGGCTCTTGTCCCACTTTCTGGCTTCATTTTAGGTATTCCCCTTTACATAGACACCAGATAGCTGTATCACACTAGAAACTGTTATTCCAAACGTGCCAAGAACTTTTATGCCTTTGTAACGTACTCCATGCTCTACCTACCATGCCTCATCTCCCTTTTGCCAAGGTTCTTTTGAGCCTTTAAAACCAATCCAGTTTCCATTTACTCAACTCAGGGAAGCCTTCGTATAGCTTCCACTCCTCACTCTAGTTAGGATCTGCCATCCTCCTTTTCTACATTTCACATACTTATTTATTCTTTTTTAATGATTTCTGTAAAAGTCTGTGTTTTCTACCATTTAGGTGTACATAGTTGCATTTTGTACAAGATTATGAACTTAATAAAAAGGGCTGTGGGTTTTATTTTTCTTCCTTTTTTTCTTTGTACTCTCCCTCCCTCTTTTTATATTCTCTACAATTAGCAAAGTGTATTACAGATATATATCCAGAACTATTTGTTGGGTTGAAATATATTGAAATAGAAAGGAATGCCAAAACTCTAGGTATGGAAACATAAAAATCAACAACACTCAGCTTTTTTAATTGTCTTACTCAGAACTGCATCAGAACATTTGAAACCTGGAATTGATTTTTCAGTTCATACACAAACATTGCTCTGAGAAGGGAGAAATGATTATAAAACAAATACAGAATACTTCATCAACAATTAAGAATATACTTATTCTTCAATTATATTATTGAAAATTATTCAAAATATAAAAAATAGTCTTCCATTTATACAGGACTAGAAGAAAAAGCCTTTACCAAGGAAGACCTTTCTTTCCTCAAGTTGTAAATTGTTTTATGACTCAGTGACTTTTCACTGTATTATATTTTAGCAAATAGCACCTGAATTATATCTTTAGTAACATGAATGAGTATATTGCACAGCATATTTTATGTTTATAAATAATGCTCTTTAAAAATGAGTAGTGTTAACTTTAACAGGACTTTATTTTTTAATTTTATTGATTATGCTATTACAGTTGTCCCAATTTTCCCCCCGTGCCCCCCTCCACCAAACACCCCCCAAGTGCCTCTCAGGCTATCCTCACACCATTATTCATGTTTATGGGTAATGTTTATAAGTTCTTTGGCTACTCCATTTCCTGTATATCCCCATGGCTATTCTGTAACTACCTATTTGTACTTAATCCCCTTACCTCTTTGCCCATTCCCCAAACATCCCCCATCTAGCAACCATCAAAACTCTCTCCATATCCATAATTCTTTCTCTGTTCTTCTTGTTCCCTTAGTTTGTTTATTTGATTCAGTTGTTGATAGGGGCTTTTTTTTTCACTTTTATTTACTTTTTTAATTACTTTATTGTTGTTCAATTACAGTTGTCTGCATTTTCTCCCCACCCCTCCCCCCAACCCCAGCCAAGCCCACCTCCCTTGCTTCCACCCACCCCCTTGATTTTTTGTCCATGTGTCCTTTATAGTAATTCCTGAAAACTCTTCTCC